CCCGGGCTTCCCGCCGTAGCCGCCGCCCCCCTGGGCGCTAGAGCGCGCGGCTCGCCGTCCGAGCAGCCGCCCGACTCCTCGTCCTCAGCTGCGTCTGCCTCTGCTTCCTCTGGGGGAAGCTCGGGGCCGTGGGGGAGCACGTCCCGGGGGGCGCGGGGCCCGGAGTGGGCTGGGAGCTCCCCCCCACCGCTGCCGCCGCCCACAACGTCTATGTCTGCGTCCGCCTCGGACAGAGTGGCCGGGGAGCTCTCGGAGGACATGATCTCGCAGCAGCAGCTGCCCAGGGTCATGGTGCCGCCGCCGCTCTCCGGCTCCGCTCCGGCCGCGGCTCCGGCTCCGCCGCGCTGCCTCTGGGGCGAGTGTGTTTTGCGCGCGGGCGGGGAGGGGGCGGGGGACTGAGACGGACGGGGAGGGGTGTCCCCCAGCTCTGCAGTGCCCCCTGGTGGCCCGACTCGGCCGCTCTCACCTCCCGCTGCGCACTTGCTCGGCGCCTCTCGGCAGAGCCAGAGCTGGGGCAAGTACCCAAAGTCAGAAAAGGAGGAGATGAAATCTCCCCTTGCAGGCGTGAGCCGCGCTCCTCTTTCCGAAAGATAGTCTGGGGGTTAGACCCTCCCGCCTAGCGGCTGCCTAAGACGGAAGAACTCAGGGCCCGGGGCGGAGCTCCGTGGGCGGGGTGAAGCGTGGGAGGGGCGGGCAGAGCTCCTCAGCCCAGGGTCCGGCGGGAACAAACCGCCGCCGTGGCGGGAGCTCGACTCCGGTGGCCGGAGGCGGGTCCCCTCTTCCCTGCAACTCCCTCGAACCTGTGGATCTGTAGAGCCACCGCCGGCCGTTCGCGCAGCCTCGTGGCTGACCAGGCTCACGGGAACAGCAGCCGAGCCGGGAAAAGTGGAGAGAACTCCCACCCATCGTCTCCCCGAGGCGGCGCCAGGGCCACCAAGGCCGAAGCGCAGCTGAAAAGGCAAAAGGGAGCCTGAGATGCTGCCCGAGTCAGGCCCGTCACGGCTGAGCGGTTTCTGGGCCTAAGTGGAGTCGGATTTGAGTGATGGCGAGGAGGAAATTTGGCGACCTCGTAGAGGTGAGAGATTCGCGGCTCCCTCTCTTTCCCCTCCCAGGCTGGGGTCCTCGCACACATACCGTCGCCCTGTTGCGGGACTCCAGGGTGTGTGCAGAGTACCCGCGGCCCGGAGCAAGCTATCTATTAGTGCGCTCCTGCCCGCATCGCCTCGGTCGAGCTGCGGCAGCATTCCGGGGACGCGAACTGGTCAATCACTCTAAATCTGCCTTGACTGACTTTTTTCTGTCTTCGTATCCAACTGTCTCAATCGCTGAGACTGACTCTTTTCGCTCTCGGCCAATTTGCCTCTGTTTCATGTGGACCTTTTGCATCTGTTGGGTTGAACCGTTTGTGGATTAGGAGTCCCTCGCGCCGTTTTCCCTTCTCGCGCGCCCCAATTGCGTTGCGAGGTTGCGCAGCCTTTCCAGTGGTATCTCTAGGCGCTATAGACAGACAGTAGGACCGGAGCCCCGGGCCAGGATTGCTTCTCTCTCAGGATCTTGTGCACAAGAGGTTGCACCTGTGACCCCTTTTGTTTCAGCCTTCCCATCCCTCAGGCAAGGGATGTCTGCAACTCAGACTGGGTCCATCTGAGCCCCTGGGGACTGGATGGGAAAGTGGGCCACCGACACTAGCAAGAACGGAGCTGATGCCCCAACAGCGCCGCGCAGTGGTCAGAGCTTGGGCCTGCGAAACCAACGACCCAATTGCATTGCCACGGTCACAAAACTGTATCAGAAAGTTACTTCCCCTTCCTGGCCTCAGTGTCTTGGTCGCTCTATTAAAAACAAAGAACTTTGGAGCCAGATTGCTGATATTCAAAAGCGTAGCTTCACTATTTACCACCTCTCTCACCTTGGCCAAGTTACTTAAGACCTTTCTCTTCCTTTATTTCCACTTCCGTAAAAGTGAAATTAAAAACACCTGCCTGGAAGCTAAAATGTATAACTGGCCATAGTTACCTGGAATTTTTATGAAGAAGGTGTCAAGAGCCTTTTGGAAACTCTTAGGACTGTTCTGTCAGAGAAAGAATGGGAATGGTGTAGTTCCCCTGCTTGGATCTCAAGTCCAGATCCTCTTCACCCCTAACCTCCCTACATATTGCATTAGACATATTCTTACGGTGCTGAAGTAGGCCCCAAATATTTCAGCAGAATTGATTTGACAGTTCGTGCATGGTCTCGTATTCTGTAACAGCAACCTTAAATCTAACCCAACTCCCTTTCTCTTAGATAGGACAACAGAGGCCCTGAGAGGGAGGAAGTACTCACCCAGATTTTAAAGACAATATAGAGTAGCAGAAGGTCTCAGGACCACGTTGGTGGATTTCTTCAGCCACCTGAGCCATCAAGAAAAGACCACAGGAGAATAGGGGCAGGTTCTCTGTGCTTAGCTCTGGACCCCTGACCAAGAAGGATCCACCTAATGCGTTGAATGTGCTTACATCACTGTCTCTGGGACAAAGAAAAAAAGCCCAGTCCTCAAACCAGAAATAAAGAGTAATGTCTCCATCCCTGTAATTGGAATTCTCTAAGTGATAGATACCTCCAGGGAAGGGGAGGATGGGGAGATAACCCTGAAGAGACTTTTAAAAAAAATAATTTTAATGAACATTTACAGATATTTTGGATTTCCATTCATTCATTGCTCCACGAAGAGACATTTTTTAAATGAATCAAAAAAAAAACATGCATATAGGAGTGGCATCCACTTCCTAAACAGCATGCCTCTGGAAACTCTATGAACTTAGAGAATGGTTATAGAACAAAATTCAGGTCTTTTGGTCATAGGGTCACTAGCTATGGGTCATGCTGGACCTAACAACAAACATACATAGGATTCCTACTGAAAAATTAGTATTATCCCCACCCCCAGCTTCTCTATACATGCCCTAAGCTTGCTCTTCCTTATACAGAGATCTCTTCACACCAAAAGGACCATACCCTCCCCCCATACACCTCACGCTCTTGCCACACACCAACTTGAAAGCAGCTCAGTTCTCCTAGTGTCTGAATATGTGAAGAGACGACAACATGAGTAACTTAATACCAATATTCTCTTCTGGATGTCTTAATTTCTAACAAGGCAACTATAACTACATTTCCTTCCTTTCCAGAGCTCCCCTGATTCTGCCAGGCCCCAGATCCTTGCCGGATTCAAGATAAAACTGACTGGGGTTTAAATACCCTGCATCTCCTACTCCAGAACTGCTGGTTTATGGAATAGCTGCAGTGGCCAGCCTCAGCTTCTGCCAGGCCCTGCTGCTTACTTCTAGCTCTTGAGAGCCAAGTTGGGGAAAGGTGAACCCACTTCGCAAGTCAGGAGCATTGGGAGAGCAGGTCTTTAGGAACCAACCAGACAAACACCAAACATAAGCGTATATATTGAAGAGGGTGGAAACTGAGGCCTCAGAGGTCATCTGACTTGCCTACGTTTTCTTGAAGGCTGGATGCAGTTGTTCAGACTTCCAGCTCAGGGCTCCTCTATTCAAATAATTCTACTTTAGCTCCTTGACTCAGCTACATTCTGACCTTGATAGTGGAGTTTTCTGTACTCTCCCCCTCTCTCCAATTGGCTTTGGACCAATTTGTTTGGTCCAAACAGTTTGAAACGTTGGTGCACATTGAGAGAAGGACCACCTTGATTCAGAATTCTTTCCTCACCCTTCCAACTCCTCATTTCCCGGTCATTGCCTTTCCAGGCTCAGGCTCCACTTGATGTCTTCGGATAATGTCTGTGACCCGATGAGTTGCGGATAGAAGAGAAAGAAAACTCTGCTAAATTTCCCTGAAGTCTGGGCCTGATATTCATGTCCTTAGCTTTCAAGGTACTTGAGCTGACAGCTAAGAGGATTTTATTTACGATATCACTGGTCATGCCAGGCTCCCCTCTGTCGTCAGCCTCAATATCTGACCACCTCCCTCCAGCATCCTAGAAATGATTGGGAAGACGCGTTTGAGGAGAGCCTGCGTGAGCTTTACATTTGGAATATCCGAATATCCTGATGCGCAGAGAAATTGTTGAGTATGTATTGAGGAATAGTTGTTATCAGCGGTCTCTCTCTTTTAGCCCCTTTTAAACTCGAGGGTCTTTGCCACTCTGGGGGACAGAGCCCTCAGGCAACCCAAGGGGTTATGTAAGTCCATTGCGGAATCTGCAAAAAGTTGCACTGGCTGGGCCAGAGGCGGAGTTTGTCTGAGCAGCAACGCTATCTATCGCACACAGCGTGTGGACTAGCAAGGACCGGGGTTCCTCCCTCCGTGCAGCCCCTGCCAAACTTGGCTTCAGCTTGGCGCATTGTCCTCACACCAGCATACTTTCAAATTGCAGTCTGGAAATGGGTCGGCCACAGCGAAAGATGCAAGTTCCCCTCCAACCTGTCCCAGCCTGCTCCTAGGCCAGGCTTCTCAGTAAAAGGCAGCTACCGCTGCCCTTCGTAATCCCAATCCTATCCTCCCGCCCCCATTCTGTCTTTTGTGGGAGCCATCTCCTCCTGGAACTAGGGTGGGAAACTAGGGGGTTGTCGGACCTTCTGCACACACAGACATGACAGGGCTCCAGCGTGGAGGTCTCTACCACCCCCAAGCCTTTGCTGAGGTCAGACTTCTGCGGTAGCCCCTCTGCCTCCATAGGGCAAAGAGGGTACGAATTTCTTTTCTCTCCCTTGCTTTTGATTAAGGAACCCAGATAGCATGGTGTGTAGTGCATCGGGCTACTAACAGAAAAGTCAGCATTTTTAATCTACTATCTACTCTGTAGGAGAAGATAGCCTAGTATCCAATCATAATGATTTACGACCTTGGAAACTAGATGGTAGGTCGGGTCGCTATGAGTTTGAACCAGGTGGATGGACATCAGTGGATCTCCTTCCTTTATGTCTGGCTGTGGTCCCTCCGCGCTCCTCCTCCCCTGACTACTCGATGGGGCCCGGCTTGCAGTTGGCCACAACGTTTGCGAGGCTGAGGCTGGAGCACTGTTAGGCGTAGCGGTAGGGAATAGAGCGAGGCACAGAACCTGTCAATTTTCGTTTCGTGGGAAGAGGGTGCGGGCTCAGGAAATGGTGAAAATAGCTCGCAGCCGACTCCCAGATGTTGGGAAATGTGAACACCTGTGGAAGGATTTTCATACGCCAGCCCCTGAGCGGGACCCTTGGTGCTCCCACTTGTTCCCACCCTCGGGGCCATCTGCTGCACGGAGCGGAGGTGCGCGCTGTGACCGACCCGCGGAGTCCGCGGA